GAGATAATTACAAATTAGTGAAAATTAATGGCATCTTTTAAAAATCTTCTTCTCAAGAACCACTGGGCCAGGAAAGATGAAACTCGTGTGGATTCATCCTCAGGTAGTGTAAATTCTATTTTTTTCAAATCATGACCTCCGGGTTTAGGGCAGGGCCATAATGGATGATAAAAGTTTTACATAAGAATTTATAGGAAAAATCTTTAAAAATCTTCTTCTCAAGAACAGCAAAGCCATGATTGGTCATATTTATATGGAAGTATCCTCAGGTGGTGTAGATTCAAGTTTGTTCAAATCTTGATCCCCTGGTATAGGGTGGGGCCACAATGGACGATGAAAGTTTTACATAGGGGTATAGGAAAAAAATTTAGAAATCTTCTTCTCAAGAACAGCAAAGCCATGAGTGGTCATATTTATATGAAAGCATCCTCAGGTGGTGTAGATTTAAGTATGTTCAAATCATAACCCACCCCCTAGGGTAGGGTGGGGCCACAATGGATGATAAAAGTTTTACATAGGAATATATAGAAAAAAAATCTTCTCAAGAACAGCAAAGCCATGATTGGTTATTAACTATTCGGAAGTATCCTAAGTTAGTGTAGATTCATGTTTGAAAAAAATGATGACCCCCTGGGGATAGGGTGGGACTACAATTGGCAATTAAAGTTATGTATATGAATACATAGGAAATTTTTTTTAAAATCTTCTCAAGAAAAGCAAAGCTATGATTGGTCATAATAGATAGTGTAGACTCAGATTTGTTCAAACCATGACCCCCGGGGGTAGGGTGGGACCATAACGAAAGTTCAAACTTGTAGGAAAAAAGTCACAGACAAAGAAATATGTAAGCATCTTTAGTTAGTGTAGATTCAATTTTGTTCAAATCATAACCCCCCCCCCCCCATTCCCTTTTAGAGGGTAGGTCAGGACCACTTATGCATTAAAGCTTTTCAATTCTGAACTGATTTTTGCTTTTTTCCCCAGCCACAGTGCTCAGGTGAACGATGTGGCCCATGGGCCTCTTGTTGCTTATACCCCCTAAATTTATGGTTAATTACATGGCTTAACAACTTTTTAGATCACCTGAGTCACTCAGTGGACCTATTGCTATCCGTTTTTGTCTGTCGTCGTGCGTCGTCCGTCGTGCATTAGCTTTTGAACATTTTCAACTTCTTCTCTAGAACCGCTAAACCAATTTCAAGCAGCAATACAGAAAAAGACAGTTATAGACCAGACACGAATTTTATACTTTTAACTGCTAGTGACCTTGAACTAGCTAAAATGACCTTGGGTAAAAGTCAAGATACACCCTCAGACTATTAACAATTTTTTTTTTTATTATCAAGAATGAACTTGTAATGTATTGTTTCTAGATTACAAAGCATTACAAAGTTATGACCCGGACATGATTGCATGGACAAAAGGACACAGAGACAGACAGACAGGTGATTCCTTTATACCCCAATCTTTGTTTGCTGTGTTATAACTTAGGCACAAATCGTGGTACTATGCTGTGTCATCTCGGCAACTGATATTTTCATTGTTAGAATAATATTGCTAACTTCTTTTCATAAGGTACACTATTTTTATTGTTTCTTTATCATTTCTAAATTCTAAATACTTTCTTTACATAATAAGTGGCAACAAGGTTTATTGTTTTTATTTTTATATATAAATGGCCAATTTGGTTTTCTGAGTGCTTGTGAAGGGTCAATAAAGATTCAAAGTACCCGAAAATCTAAATTTTGTTGAAATCAACCTGTCTGTTACCATGACAACTAAACTTTGATTGATTTAAAATTCTGTTGTCAAACTATTATAATTGTAACTATTATAAAGAGCAAAGTTTCATGATAATCGGTGACCTTGCGTGCCAAAAAAAGTTCAAGTTGTTACAGAAAATTGTTAGTAACTCTCCATAACATATTCTGTTTCTTATTTGCTCAAATGTTGTTACCCTGGGTTAAAAGTATAAAAATGGGCTAAATTATAAAAATGTACTTTGCTAAGACATCTATTACAAAATCAAATTTGATTAATTGCAATATGCTAACGAACTGTGGATTAATATTTTATAATTGTTCATAAAAATTTGCCGAAAGTGACTTTATTTGCTTTGTTGCTATGGAGAATTTGTGGTTGCCACGGAGATAAGTATCTTTACAATATTTTTTGGTTTGCAAAGGTGTCTCAGATATATTTCCTTACTTTAAACTGTGTTTTTATACTCTCAGATAACAAATTATTAGATTAATAATGTTCACATTGTACGATTTTCCATTTTTATTTATCAAAACATCCATTTTGGTTGCTAGGCAACGGATTGGAATTTTCAAAAAACACACCTTTTTGAATTTAAAGTCCAAAAGAGACATTCCTCTGCTTTTATGCGAAATACTTGCAACTCCTGTATTACGCCAGAAGTTTGAGTAATAAGGCTTCGAAAAGTACCAAAATCAACAAAAATGCTGAATCAGCAAAAAACACAAAACATGCATATCTACCCATGTCTAGTACAGATATATCTCAAAAAAAAAATTACATAAGAACTTGTTCTGTTGTTTCAGGGAAGTTGAAGAGGAATTACTTGAATTTTATGACAATTTTTTAGTGTGTTTATTTTTAACATTCATTAAAAAAATCACAAAAGAGAAAAAAACACATCTGAATTGATAAAATTGAAAAAAGAAGGATTTTAATAATAAAACTGTCAATAATTTAGTATTAAATTATACAAAAAGATCATTATTAATTAATGAATACGTCTAAGCATGAATAGAAGTGTTTTCATCACACAACTTGAATCTTTAAAAAATGTGTTGCACTCCTGACCATAGAAATATAGATCTGAAGCACAGACAGATCCTGTAATTAATAAATCTATTTGGTAAAAATGTTCTTTGTGTCTTTCTTTTCCAAAATAAAAATCAGAAAATCATATAATGATAATAGTTTTTTCATGCTTGGGAGTAAAACATCAAATGTTGCTCTCCTGACATTATTGGGTATGCACATATACTTGACTATAATTAATGCTGCTTGTGATTTATATACATTTTTAAGTTTTAAAATGTATATCAGTTATTGTTTTACACTTCGAAAATTCTTTTTTGTCTTAATTTTCTTTCAGAATTTTACAGTTGATGTTTTTTTCGCAACACTACATTTTTTCTGTTGCACTCCTGACATGGTATAACATTTTTTTAAACATCAGCCATGACCACAACTTGATTAAACAAAAGTTACTACAGCGCACATTTAATAAAAGCTCAATACTTTGAATATTATCAGGAAAGTCTTTATTTTCAACATAAAGCATTATTATTTATTTCACAGATCTCCGAAAAATATTGAAATTGCAAAATGTCACAAAAAGGTGTTTCACTCCTGACAATTTTAGCATCATTTTTGGGCATAACTTTTTTGTTAATTGAGATAACAACGAGATATTTGGCAGGTATTTAGACACTATCTAAAGACATATGTTGAGACATAGAAATCTATTTTCATTGCCTGTGTGATAGAGTGATATTTTAATTTATTTTATTAAGTGAATATTATATTATATAGTTCAGTGACTTAATATTCACGTGTATATATTTTATTTTTAGCATCGCGCAGCATTTCGTTTTCACGGAGTTTTGCGCTCACCGTTAATAAAATTAATAAAATATTACAACTTCATTTGGTTTTAATCTTTACTTATGTTCTAGAAGTTCTTACTTATCCTGAGGGTATATAATGTTATTGGTCAGTTTTAATATCCAAGCTTGCGATTGGTTAGGGACGTTTTTCCCGCCGATCTCTTTGTGTATCGGTCAGACATCTATAGACCATTGAGAAAGTGAGATGAGTATTTTTGGTCATCATTATATACAATATTAATTTTGAGACGAGACCTCAGGACAGAGACTGTAAGTTGACTTCTATTTCTTTTATCTTTACTAATTCTTATTCTATACTTTCCGATAATTCATCGTCTTTGATTTTTAATGTAATTTTGTGAAGATATACTGAGTTCAACTTTATCATTATTAAATGAAGCTTAAAGTATAAATTCTTTGAGTATGTAAATAAAATATCAATTATGCAGAAGTGTATATAGAATATAATTATTGTTTAATAGGAGTATATATATCAAGACCCGTTATTTTTATCGGGTGGCCATTGTTTGAGCCTTGATCCACAATCAGGTATACCTACAATTATTTTCTATTTATTGTGTATATATTATTGCAAATAGATTTGTGAACTATTCATTTTATTTGTAATAGTTCTATTTGGAATAGTTCGATTTATATTCTCGTTTTCAAGACGTCGGTGTAAGGGAAATAACTTACTTTTCCATGTATTTATTTCAATGCTCAGTATAATGTGTAATACTTTTATGATCGATTATTATAAAGTAATTCATGCCTAAATTCATGAATATCATTATAAATGTAATATGGTTGTTTGTTTTCTAAATACTTATAATTTGTTATTGATATTTTCAGGGCTTTATTGATGTATTTATTTATTCAACATGACAAAATAAAATGATCGAACCTTAGACGCAGGAGTTCTTCTTTAACACCATAAGAAAACCCTGTTACACCTGTATTTTTATTGTGGGTTGATAAATATGCGTTGGTCATTTTTTTTTAATTCACCCTTATTGTCCATTATCCAGGAGTAAAGAAGAAGATTATTATTTTTTTTACGGTTTTAGCCCCACTTCGCAAGCCCCAGGGGGCGGGGACCATGAAATGTACAAATTTTGTTCCCTCCAGCCATTTACACTATTTGCCAAAATTGATTAAAACTGGATCCGCGGTTCCAGAGAGTTCTGAATCAAACGTTAATTCAAGACATGACACACGATAAACGACGATGGACGAAAACAGAGACCAATACATGTACATGTAGGTCACCTGCATGAGTGACTCTAAATTGACCTAAAAAATGATTTTTTTCTTTCGATCTTTTCAAGTACCCAGTTCTAAGTGGAATTTTCTTACCTGACTTGACCCATGTTTACAGTGGACATTTAAACTGCAGGACGTTTTGATTTAGGCTACGTTCTGGACAGATCATTTACGTAACCTACTGACCTATAACCAAAACAATGAACCCGTTTTTTTACTGTAAATTTTTTGCATCATATATGTATTTAATAAACATATTTAGAATATTTGAGACACATTTAGAGAATTTTTAAGTATCTTTTGAAAAAAAATTGTCGCTTTGCTTACCTGCACGTGCATTCTGTTTTGTTTGTGAATGTAAACAAATGGCTATGGAACGCCGTAGCTGTCTTTCGTATATTACACTTAACAGGTTCGTTTCGTGAACGGTACGTTTAAGACTTGTGAACGGTACGCTTCTTGTTCTTGCAAGGTACGCTTTGGTGAATGTTTGAAGTTTGTGAATGGTATGTAAATGAAGTGGGCGAAGCCCGTTTGCTCAAGTTTGTCTACTATTGGCTGGTTCGTAAATAATTATTCATTCAAAGACAGATGATATAAACTGACAAACTTTTATAAACAATTTTGGAATTTTGAACATCGTAGAAAGTAAACAATTTCTTAATCATGTTAATATTTTTGAAATTTATTATTCTAATCATTTGTAACCAAAATAGGTAAAAAAAAAAAAATATACCAATCCAGGCATCCATTAATATATTTTTGTTTGTATCATCTGTCCTTTATTTTTGTTAATCTCCTTAGTTTACACTGTACATATGTAAACGGAAACACCTTTCTGGCAAGTTTTTTTTTTTACCAGTTGTTCTTAAGTAAAAGCAGTCAGGTATATTTCAACTTTTTACATATATATTTTCGTTATCAACCAATTTCCAGGCCCATAGCAACAGTTTCAAATGTGACTGGGGGTGGGTGCTGTGAGGGGGGCAGGTTCCCAAAAAATAAAAATGAAAAAAAAACAACTTAACCATCCAAATCCTCGCAAGTGCTCGACCTTAGAGGAAAAAATTTGGGGGGGGGGGACAAGCAATTAAAAGGAAAATTTACTATAGTAAAGTACTATACTCAGAAAGAGTGGATGGCTGCCCCCCCCCCCCCACCCCCGCGTTCTACGGACCTGATTTCGTTATTTATCTCATTTTTTATAGTTAAATTCCTGTTCTGTTTCAACTAGTTTTCCTTTATTTAGTTACTTTAAAATATCTCTTAATTTATTATTTCTATAATATCTCTTCTTTATTATTTCATCTTGTACACCAGGCAATGAAAAAACTATTTTTATCACAAACCTATTTGTGTTACAGTCATAATCGGTTTTTATTTTCCTGCTTCAAGTTCACACGAAGTCCACGTGCTTGACCTGTCAATCAAAATCATTTGACACTGTGGTGTGAAAGTCAACATTTCTAAAAAAAAAAAATAATAATAAATGAATAAAGTACATTGGGAATAAACACTTGAAATGATTAAGCCGCTCGAATTTGAAACCTACTCCCTGCCAATTTAAAATATCACCGCCGGCACATGTATATTTTGAACTACTATTGTTTAATGACTTTGTTTAGATGCATGTTTGTTTTGAGACTGAAATTTTTGTGCTACAAAACACATTAACTTCTATTTAAATATTAATTTAAATATACTGGAAATACTATCTATAAGTAACAGATTTACGGGAAAGGGGGGGGGGGGCTCTTAACTATATCTAATGGCAAACATATAAAAGTTACGGTGAAAAATATCATTACTGGAGAATCACTGGTTATATTAATGATAATCATGTTATAAAGGCATTTCTCTCTCTCTAATTAAAGACTTTATATTTGTAAAGTAGAAAAAAATTCTATAATGTATTACATTTTAAACAAATATTTTTTTTTTCAAACCACACTATCAATTTAATTCCCTCTAAAGATATTTAATTAACTGGAAAGCTGCAGTACTGTTTATAATCCTCAGAATTAGTTCTAACATCTATTTCTGTATTATTTGAAAAAAATATGTTAGAAATAAATATTTTCGTATTTCTGCTGAAGTTGGTAAATTAATTGACTTCGGTTATTATCTATCCATTAAGGATTTGTCGTCTTTATCATAGCAACAAAATGTTGCAGTGCTTGAAGCACCTGCATATTGCCCGTATTTAAATTTAATTTTTCAGCATCGTTCTACATAGGTACATACAATGTACATGTACTTATAAAAACATTTATTTTCCAGATAAATTTAATAAACAACCTAACAGCTCAGTTAGAATAATAAAAATAAATATTGTAGATAATTTTGTTTTTAAACACGATATGTTAATTATTAAATTTGTAAATCATTACTTAAAAAAAGATAAGTCCATTCACTTCGGAGTTCCGAATGACAATAAAGACTGAACGATAAGTGAACGCTGAACGCAAGGTGAACGCAAAGTGAACGAACGAAGAGCGAACACTGAAAGCTTTGTGAACGGTGAACGCGAGCGCACGGTGAACGCTGAACGCAAAACTGTGAACGGAGAGCGAACGGTGAACGAACGGTGAGCGAACGGAAAAATGGGAAAGTAGAACGTTTCAGGGACTGTATTTAAAAAAACAAAACAAAAAAAAAAGTCTGTTTCATGGTCATCACTGACATTAGCTGTAACAGAGGGTGACTTCGGTTCGTACCCGGGTACATACGAGAATTACTAGAGTTGCAACCGAACACTGGTGGTTTCTACTCAAATTACGTCATATGCTCTAACCCAGCCACGAAGTAGGATAAGTCGGGTTCAAGATGGCGTCGAATACAGAACTGAAAATTTGGATTTTTTAAAAATTTATAATGAAATTGTGGGACTCTGTAACTCAACACTGTTTATCATAAACGAATATATGCATATGCCTCCACATTCATTTATTCATTGTAATGTGACCGTGATATAACTTTTAACTTAGAGTGACGGATATTTATTATATTTTATTATTAATTTTTTTTACGTGAGGTTAAATATATATATATATATATATATATATATATATATATATATATATATATATATATATATATATATATATATATATATATATATATATATATATATATAAACACTGTCAACACGTGAATTTATTTATTAAAATTAATTGTTTACATGTGAATTTATGTATTAACATTAATTATTTACATATTTAAAAAAATTGCTTACAAAATTTGTAAATATGCTTGGTGTAGTGAACTTTATTTTAGGGCACCTTAGCTTATAGTTTTGTGTGCATTATTGTTTCTCTTCAAATTGTATACATAGAGGATATTCAATGTTTTGCAGATGAATATGGAATTTATTTCACGAGTGGGACAGGATTTTTTTTATATTTTCACGAGTGCGAAGCACGAGTGAAAATATAAAAAAAATCCTGTCTCACGAGTGAAATAAATTCCATATTCATCTGCAAAACATTGAATTTTCTGTTTATTACATTTTTTTAAATTTTCCCTTTGCCTCTGTCTTTTCTTAACACAGTGTCATAGGCATGATGTCATAGTTGAGCGGTTGAGACGTCATAGCTTATCTGTTGTGAGATTGAAAACATTACATAGCATTGATTTAGCAACATATTTGGGAAGAAATTTGCAGTTTTAGCTCTATCAAGATGGTTAGTTACTATCTCTATCTTATGACAGGCCAGAAATTATTTTTACTTACTTTGATATCCTTTCACACTGTGAGAGAATATCATTTTGGTATCCTTTCACACTGTGAGAGAATATCACTTTTATTCAATAAATAAATCACAGTATTTCACTGTTGAAAATGTAATAATGAGTATTAATTCATAACGTACTAATTATAATTGAAAGAACCAGTTTTTATATAAACAATTTTACTGACCCGTAAAATGGGGTAACGAATGGACGAATTTTCCCGGAATTTATTTAATACTTTCCCTATTAAGAAAAAATAAACTGCTAAAAATGTTACGGATTACATAGATACGGAAGCGTATTAGTGCCTCCTAGTAATTTTTTGTATGTAGGTAATTCGAGCTTTAAAGTTGGCTTTTCTAATTTCAATTTTGGCTCTTCCGACTTTAAAGTTGGTAATTCCAACTTAAATATATAATGGCTTTTCCAACTTTAATTTTGGAGTTTCCAACTTCAATCGTCGCTTTTCCAATTTTAATCCTGGCTTTTCCAACTTCAAAGTAGGCCTCTTCAACTTCAAAGTAGTCTTTTTCCAAATAAAAAGTTGGTAATTCCAAATTTAAGGAGGGTCATTCCGACTTTAAAGTTGGCTTTGTTTTTGATGGTTGATTTTCGTTTGTATCATATGCCGTGGATTTTTCTAAATATATTGTATATAAAATACATACTTTTTTTTAATTTTGTGGATATTCCGAAAATGTGATTTTTTAAAAAAAATTTAATGTTGCGAGTTTTTTTTTTTTTTTTTTTCATTCTTTTATAGTGATTTTATATGACGGTATGTCTTGTATATTAATACCTCCTATAAGGAAAAAATAAGTTGTTTTTTTTTAAATAATTTGTCCATTTGTCTCTCCGTTTGTTTTAACGAATCGCTGAAAGATTTGTTCATGGATTTTCTTGAAAGTACGAAAACTTTGTCCAGTGAGTATGCTAATAAATGAATCCCTGTAAGGATGAGATTCTTCAAAACTACATTTAAGTCTTAATACTTTAATATTCCAGTCAACGAAGCTGAGCTGGATCTATATCCTACCTATACTGGATTCCTAAACTTCATAAAAATCCTTACAAAGATAGATTGCCGGGCCATGCAACTGTACCTTTTCTCCTCACAAAAATATTAACTGCACTGTAAAGGACAACCTTCAGACATACTGTGCTACAGCATATTCTAGAAGTGGTATGAATTAAATATACAATCATTCCTTACGATAAATCAAAACTAGTCTTTCCTTCTTCAATAAAAATGTAACTCGGAAATTTCTACATGTTGTCATTGGTCGTCAACAAAATTAGCTCGTTAAAAATCACTCTGATTCTTCACACAAGTATTCTGAAGTTGATATTAAAAGGATACCAGTGTTAATAGCCCCAATTTCCTATATTTCCTTAATTGTTGATGTAGTAATATTCCACTATCACCTGCAAATGGTGTTTATGTCT